CCCCAAAACCCCAAAACCCCAAAACCCCAAAACCCCAAACTAAATATTTCACGTTGAAATAGAAATGGCCAAGAAATATATTGAAGAGCTGATTTGACATGACAAAATAGACCAAAAACGGATTTAAGAAATTGATTGACCTTATAAGCATTTGCCAATTTCTTGGGATACCAAAGATAGTGGGCATCAAGATTTTTACGATAAATTTTGGATAAATCAGAGTAAATTTGGCATGTTCCGACAAAAATAGAAGATGATATGATGTTTTTAGAAGATGTATGAATAGAATTATTGCTTCACTTGTGGGTGTTAAGATAATTTCCTTACTTAATCCACAGAATCATGATTAGTAATTATCTGTGCTATGATTACCATGAATTTAAAATTTTGCAAAGAACCCTTTCCATCTACATAATGTGATGCAATGAATCTTGGAAATTTGATATTTTCCTTGTCCAATAAAAAATTGAACTAAAAGAAGAAGAGAGAGTTTAACACGAATTAAATATTTCCCTCTTCTGGTATGTACTTTTCTTCAGGAGTTATATATTCACAAAAAGTTGCAATACTTTCTTAACTTTAGATTCTCCGATAGATAATCTCTTAGGTAGTCTCAATCAATAATAAAGCTAATAATAGTCCATCAAATATAGTTGCTAAATCAAGAAAGAAAAAGAAAACATATTAAATATTCTCATAATTTTTATTTTAAAAATAAACTAAAAGAATCAGCATTGATGTGGGTGTTTTGATAACCTTCTATAATTTTCAAAAATACTCTAGAATAGAATACAAGGCCAAATAACCACCCGAAGATATTCACTAATTTTTTAGGAAAATGCCCCAAGGGGAGAAACGGAATCATTACCGTAAAGTTAATAAATAAGGTTTAACGCAAGAATTTTATTAAAAGCAAAGATTGTTTAATTAACAAGGCTCCATATCCTTCATTGCTGCCTTCTTAGGCGATGGAAGGTTCTTTAGAAAGTTATTTTTATGATCCTTAGCAGCTTGTTGGGCATGACAATCCTTCATCATTTCTTTGCTTCTAAGTTTAGCTGCATACTTAAGAAGACTGCTGATTTCTTGTTTTAAAGAGGCATTTGATTTTTTCTCCTCATCTTTGCCAACATCTTTATTGTCTTTCTTCTGATAATTCAAAGAGTGAATTTTATGCATCTTTAATTCAAGACGAGGTGGCTCTTCATGCTCTTTGTCACTCTCAGGAAAATGAAGGTGTTTGGAGCCATGGATGAAAGAATTCTTTCTTTTCTTCTTGCTACTAAGTGAATTCTCACTCATATTAACAAGAATTTTGTCTGATTTTCTAATTGACCAAGAAGAAACCTCTTCATCAATAAAATCATCAGAGAGGTTCTCATCAAACTCAACTGGAGTAGTCATTTCCATATTAAATATATTTATCTAATAATTCTCTTCCAGTATTTTAAAAACATCATGGGGTTTTGGGGTTTTGGGGTTTTGGGGTTTTGGGG